GAAGAGCGTGATGCCAAACGCTTAAAGACAACAGAGGATATTTCTTCAACATCACAAGAAGAAACACACACATAATACACCAGGTTTTGTCTGCAGAAGATTTGTCCTTTTTGTCATCATAAGGCATTAGCAGAGAGAAATGATTGCATAAAGGAAACCGAACATGTGGAGAAGCCTCTTTAAAGAAGACATTATCTGTCTTGTGGGGAAGTCTTTTTTTTCTCAATAGCTGAAATCTTTTTGCTGAGATTCCTTGCTTTTTGTTTTCTTCTATTTTTCACCATTTTGTTGCAACTTGATAGTTTTCTGCCATTTTTATCAATATGCTTATTGTGAAACAAATGTATTAGTTTCCTGTAATCAAAGGTTTAATATCGTTTACACCACATATTTTCCTGTAGTACCAAAACAATCATCGTTAATTACAAAACTGTAAGCATGTCCATATCTCTTGGAGATGCACTGCAGAACACAACCCTACACCGAACTTTTCCACATTGGCTCTAACCCGACAAGTTGTATAGAAACATCAAGGGCTCTGCGGTTTGGTCCTGCTCGAACACTTCATTGTAAAACCCTGAAATCTCAACCATTGTACCACCCACAGAGAGATTCATTTCATTGTAGATCAAAGCAAGTCCATTGTAAATCTCTTTCCATCTTGGATGAGCCTTGTCTCCAACAAGAAACGTGTGAAACTCGTCTCTGATCTCAACCCAGCTGCAACCTGGTTCTTTTTTCAGTTTATCGCTTCTCATTGCTGTCCTGAGCTCCGAAGCCTTGTCCCACATTCCTGCATCGGCGTATATATTGGAGAGAAGAATGTAAGTTGAAGAATCTTGTGGATCCAATCGCAAGAGCGCGTTTGCTGCCACTTCGGCAGCCTCTACATTGTTCCTGTTTATCTTACACGCACTCAACAACGTTCTCCATATAACATCATCTGCCTCGAAGGGCATCTCTTGGATAAGTTCCAAGGCCTTTTCAACTTCTCCGGATTTTCCCAAGATATCCACCATGTTTGAGTAGTGCTCTAACCGAGGGTCCAAGCCATACTCCTTCTTCATCATGTGGAAGTAGTCTAGACCTCTTTCGACCAAACCCATGTGGGCACATGCTCTTAGGAGCGAGACGAAAGTTGCATGATTTGGCATGATGTTCATTAGCACCATGCTCTCAAACAGTTTTATGGCTTCCTCTCCCATTCCATGATGAGCATAGCCACAAATCATGGCATTCCAAGTCACGAAATCCCTTATTGGAGCCTTCTCAAACATCAATCTCGAATCATGCAAGTTTCCACATTTCGAGTACATGTCAACAAGAGTGCTGCAGATATACACATCGTATTGCAGTTCTTTCTTGATGACGTGGGCATGGATCTGTTTTCCAAGTCCTATAGATGCCAGATTAGCACAGGTATCGAGAACTGTTGAATATGTGAACTTGTCAGGTGTTATGCCCATCTCCATCATCCGATTAAAAAATCTCTGAGCATCCTCGCTTTGTTTTCGCATCACATATCCAGAAATTATCGCATTCCATGAAACAATCATTTCTTGCACTCTTCTATCCTGTATTCCTTTCGGCTCTTCAATTGTTTCCGGATGCTCCGAGTATGTGTTGGAATCACCGATTCCAATAAAGATCTTATTGTGTATCTTCTCTGCCTCGTCTATCATTCCACACTTTGAGTACATATCAACCAGAGAGCTTCCGATGTAGGGATTTGAAGCCATTCCTAACTTGACAATTGTAGTATGGATCTCCATGCCATGATTCAACGAATCACCAGCACAAGCTTTCAATACGCTCCCAAATGTATACTCGTCTGGTTCCATCCCAGAACGGAGCATTGAGACCAAAATGTTAAGTGTTTTGCTTCTCTCTTCGTTCTGCTCATGAGCTGCTATAATTGCATTCCAAGACACAGCATCCTTTCTGCCCATCTCATCAAATACACGGCAAGCTTCATCCAAAGCTTCACATTTCCCATACATGTCAATGAAAGCATTTGCTACGCAAATGTTTCGGGAAAAGTTACTTTTTGTTGCCAATCCATGCAGCTGAAGCCCCTCTGAAAGGCCTTTCACCGTGGCACACGCCCTGAGTGCTCCTGATAAACTTATTTCGTCAAAACCAAGGCTAGACTTGGAGAGCTTGCGAAATAACAGTAGAGCTCTGAAGCCATTGTCTTTCTGTGAATACCCAGTAATCATCGCATTGTAAGATTGCAAATTAAGATTCTCGGACATGTCAAATAACCTTTGAGCATCTTGCATGTTATTACACTTTGCATACATATCTAAAGTTGCCGTCCTCACAATGCCATCTTTCACGAAATCTGACTTCAAGGCATGAGCATGCAATTGGGTACCTAATCTCAAATCAGGCAATGTCGCACAAGACTTCAAGACGCTAGCGTAGATTGACTGGCTCACACCTACACCTACCTTTTGCATCTCCTTGAACATCTTCAGACCACCGTCCAGAAAGTTATTCTGAACACAACCCGCAATTATAGCACTCCAACTGATCCAATTCTTCTGAGGCATTGCATAAAACACAGTAAACGACTCATCCAATCTCTTGCATTTTGCATACATATCCAACAACGCACTTCCAGAAACCACATCAGTGTCATAACCCATTCGAAGCGCAATCCCATGAATCTGGGTTCCTAACTTGTAGTTCTCCAAGATAGAACACACTTTGAGAATAACTGAAAAGCTTTTATTGTCAAACTCAACACCTGACCTCCCCATTTCAATGAAAACCTTGACAGATTCCAAATTCTCACCAGTCTGTAGAAATCCAGAAAGCATCGAGTTCCACGACACAACATCCCTCGTCGGCATCATCTCAAAACACAAACTTGCTCTGACCATATCGTTGCTAGCCGCGTACCCGAAAATCATCGCGTTCCACGAAACTACATCTCTCAGAGGCATTCCATCAAACAACTTAGTAGCGTATCCTAGATTCCCACAATTTATGTACAACTGAAGCAGACAATTCGAGACGAATACGGTCGGACGAAACCCAGATATAATCATATGAGCATGGGCTTGTTTGCCCAGCTCGTGCGCTCTCTGTTTTGCGCATTCCTTGAAGACAAACGAGAAATTCGCCACACTAGTAGCGGGCTTCTCGTGATTCACAGAAGCCGTAGAAATCGAAAAAATTCTGACCCTTCTGTATGGAATATTCTTCGTTAGATGCTGATGAAATAGAAGCACTACTCTGGTCAGGCGCATGGACATGAGATTCTCCGCCATGAAAATTGCTTCCCAGTGTTGCTATGGCGGGAGATGGATCCACATCTTCGGAAACGACGTCGTTTTCGGTTCCTTTTCTTTTGGAATAATACGACGTTGTTTTTGTTTCAAACCAGTAGAGCTTACGTGGCAGAATCTTAACCCAATAGTATATTCACCATGTATAGATACAAACTATATCATATATGTTTTGTATAGTTATTATTTCTGCATTTTGTTTTTTTCTCTGAAACTCAAAGCCTATGGCGTCGGCGAAGCTATGGGGGTCCTCCGCGTATGCACCTTGAAGACGAAGGAGACAACCAAGCCGTCACTAGAATTGTTTCCGGACCAGATTGTGAAACTGTGGTCTTGCCTGTCTTCTACCAAACGGACAGCCGCGCTTGCAATGCGTATTACCCCTTCACCGACTCTAACTCCGATTCTGGTTCCGTATCTTGTCCGGATACAGGGCTGGATCCGGACAGCTTTTTCATTGATTTCTTCGACCGAGACTCGTACGAGGTTGACGCGGTCGAGGAGTTTATTCGGACCCCAATCCGGCGCTCAGGAATGTCGATGATTTCAATCTATGGGGCTTTCACGATGCGGATGAAGACGAGATGAAGGAGCTAGGTTTATGTCTCGGGGTCGAGTCGGGGTCCGATCAGCGGCGCGGTGATTCGAGTGGGCATGGGCTGCGCGTAACCGCGATTGATTCGAATTCTGATTACGAAGATGGTATCTTGGATTTGAATGCTAGCGATAACAGGAATGAAGAATCTGAGTCGGGTCGGGTCGTCGATGGCTCGGGTCTTCCTCCGATTCGGGACAGCTTCTTTGGCGAGGAAGCCGTCGTGGCTGATGAAGAACTTGAGTGGGAGGAGGTGCATGAAGCGATCACTTGGACATATGAACCTGTCCAAGTTAGGGGTTTTGCCATTCCCGAAGAAGAGGGAGAACTGTCTTCATCTTCCAGGGACGATCACGAGCATGATCTAGATTGGCAGGTTTTGTTAGCAGTTAACAATGTTGTTAATTACATCGAACAAGCTGAAGGAATCAGCCTAACCGCTGATGACGTCGATGCTAATTATTACCTGTATTTAGCTAATATCGATGAATATGATGAAAATCATGGAGATCACGATGCAATTTTCCGGCAAATGTTTGATAACGAGACTGGAATCGGGGGAAACCCTCCAGCAGCCAAAAGGGTAGTCAAGGATCTTCCACTCGTTGAATTTACAGTGGAGAAATTGGGGAAAGGGGAGGTCGTTTGTTCGGTTTGCAAGGATAAAATTGCCATTGAGGAGAAAGTGAGGAGGCTTCCTTGTAGACATTATTATCATGGGGATTGTATTCTGCCTTGGCTGGGGATAAGGAATACATGTCCGGTTTGCCGGTATGAGCTTCCTACTGATGACCCTGACCATGAAAGGACTAGGAGACAACAAAGGAGTGACAGGCTTGGCAAGAGAGTCATTGGTTAGATAGGGTTTCTGAATTTGAAGTATTGTAGTTGATGCCAAAATACATGGTCTTTGCAGATACAAGCTCGTGATCCGGCTTATCTTTGGTAATCGGTTGTCATGAATGTCGATCTTATCCTGTTTAATATGTTGTATATATCCTTGTGTGAAGGAAATCCCTTTGCAGCCCGATCTTGTGAATGTATATTTAATTAGGTTTCGGGTTTTTACCCATTCCTGAAGGCTTGAAAGGGAAATGTCCTTTGATTTGAGATGATGGTTAAATACATCCAGCTTTCCCTTACTTCAGCAGCTGAGCTTGCATTAGTTTGGTCAGATAACCTTTTGGAATGACATGAAAGAGAGCTCTCTGTGTGCTGCTTGTTCTAAAAAATACTCTCTAAATTTAAAGTTTTTCTTTGATACTCAAAAGCTTTTACAAGTATGCAACATTTCTGATAGCCTGTGTATTGCTCTTGGATTTACGGGTGAAACTATTAAGCTTTGACACATGCTGATAGAAGAAAAGAAGATATGAAAACATCATGAACGTTTTCAGCCGAACAGGTTCCGGATCGTTATTCTTGCTCTGTTGATGCTAGACTTCTATTTAGTTTCGCTTTGGCAGGTCAAGGATAGATCGTGTATCATGCGGTGAAGAATGACCGAGTTTGCAAGGGAATAAAAGCTGCTCGTCCTTGCCAATACCATGCCTAGCTCTTGGATACATTCCTCAATCTGGGTATTCTTCGGACTTGTAGTTCTTTTCTCATGATGAATTACTTTTACACACCACATGCATGCACGGTTGGGATCCTCATTTTGTTCTCATGCCATTGAGAGGATAGGCATCGTCGGTAGAGCGCACCATGGCCATTCCTCGCAACTCTGATAGGGACATGACAGAGAATCCCCAGCATTTGATCATAGTGAAGTCTATCTATATCTACATCCAGTCTTGCCGGCATTCCCCTCTCTTAACATTTTTATCGTAGCTTTATATTTGTCTATACAGATACCGACTGCTACTCGCATGCTCCTGTGAATAATTCAATCTGCAATGCTTGGACCGGCGATCACCATCATGTGAAAACCTTTATGAGCTGTGATGAAGACACAAAGGTGCTGAATTACTCCATCTCCTTTGTTTACGTGAAAGGTCCTTATAGCCTTGTAGCCTTTTTTGTAAAATTGTTCTGGGTCCCCGGCTTTACATCTACTTTGACCAACTTTTGTCATGTGGCCTTTACCATTTTTCTTTTTCATGTCGTTTTACAGTGCAGCTTTTGCACTGTGTGACCAGTCAATTCTCTTGCACAAAAACCTTCGATCACTTGAAAGATTGAAGAAGCTCCAAACTCTCACGTACGTATCCTCCCTCCTCTCTGTATTAAAATGTTTATAGGTCAGGACACAAGTTCATAGCTTCTTAAGTGAGATGTTCAATCAGCTATAGACTTGGTGACTCAGAGGTTATGAAACCTAGGATTGGCCAGAAGTTAGGAAAAGAAAGAATCTTTAACCATCTGTTATAGAGCCAAGACTGGAAATGAACTCCATAAGTTGACAAACCCAATTTGAGACAAACCCAAGTTGAGAAAATGTTTCTCCACTTTGGTTTTTGTTTAATCTCCTAACTTTGGTTGGCCATTTGGTGTGTTTTTTTTTAATAATACTAAACTGCTTCTAAGGACATTGTGTGATATTTTTTTTCAAATAAAATAAAATAAAAGAAAAGACGTTTTCACTGCTTCTCTCTCCATCTCTGTGGTGGTGACTCAGACTCTACATCGCCAAAGAGGCAATAAAACATCAATGGGCAGTTTTTCGTCTGTTTTCTCTGGAACCCTTTTACCCATTGTGGTTCTCTGTGTGGCCTAAGGACGTTCATTTTGTTTTGTGTATCCATTTATATGAACGCGATGCTGTTGTTGTCGTTGTATCCATTTACATGCATGCTCTTTCCTTTGTCTCACCACATGGAACCAGAATTCCACATTAGAAATGCTTAAATCATGGTATGGATTTAATACAATAATAGTATTATGAGCCTTGAGAGTTCTTGATAACCCACTGAGAGATTTCCAGATAATCAATTTATCAAACCCATTGTCATTTGTAAAAATTTGAGCTCAAATGTCCTTTCCTTTACACCCACTTTAGGGTCTCTCTAGGATTCTCTCCCTCCCTCTCTCTGTCTATATATATATATGTGTGTGTGTGTGTGTGTGTATGTATTCTTCAAATGATATAGTAGTTTATCTGAGATCCTAATGAAACATGTTTTTCTATTTGGATTCAGGACATGGTCGGTTGCTATTATAAACTGTTTGGTATGGTACCGCCATGAATGTGTGGTTAGTGATTAAACCATTGGATTAGAAATTGCTGATGGTTTTCCATTATTTAATCAGTTGTATCAACCGGTCTAGGATTGATTTTCAAATTCTAAAACCAGGTTTAGTCCACTTAGCACATCTTTTCCATATATATATAATATATACCTAAAATTTGGTCTATTAGTTTACCATTTTTGTCTTTGTCTCTCTTATTCAATAAAACATGACATATCCCCAAAAAAAAACCTAACGTGCAATGCCAAGTAGCATTTTGAAAATAATAAAATAGTAACAGTTCTTAATAAGTAATGATGATGTTAATCCATATAATGATAGTGGATAGAAGTATGTAAGCACATTATTTTGGTCTCTATCCACATCCTTCTATTTAACTAAAAGAAAATGTACCAATCTTGATTATTTTGCTTTTCTTATTATTTTAATAAGAAATAAAGTTCTCTTCATAACGGCGGGGATTAAAATACTAAGCAACATCAATATATCATTTTATCAACTAACAAAAATAGATATATGCACAATTTTATTACAAATACTTTTCAAAGTAGTATTCCTTTACAAAACTTGCCATACAATTAGATAAATACGACAGATACCAAATTCTTTTAATGGTGAAATTTTAAAGTTTGTAATATAAATGAAAATCAATAAGAATTTGCTAAAAACAAATACCATATTAGTATGGCAATGTCTTTTTTGTTATGAGATGAGATAAATCAATTAATTTAATAAAATCATTGTAAATTAGAGGAAAACAAATTATATAAAAAAAAAAAAAACTTTTCCACTCAGGTGATTGGCTTATCCTTGGGAAAATGACATTTTTCTACACGAATTGTTTAAAATGTGACTTTTTTCTACACGAACTTTTAATTTGACAAAAAACTACACCAAATTATCAAATGTGCCAAATTGATACACGAACTACCCAATTTAACTGCAATTTCCTACACAATCCGAAAACGACGTTAAATGTCCGTTAACCGATGATGTGGTACGCCACGTGGCATCTGACGTGGCACGCCACATGGGAAATTTTGACACGTTATCGTGCCACGTCAGATTTTTAAAAAAAAATACAAAAAAATCTAGAAAAAAAAAATCGAAATTTTTTTAAAAAACATATACACTCCTATATAAAAATATATATACTCCTATTTAAAAAATAAATATATATACTCCTACATATATATTCATATACAAATACAAATATAAATATATATACTCCTACATAAAATATATATATATATATATATATACAAATTAAAACATACACACATATATATATACACACTAACATCTATACATATATATATACATATACATACAAACAAATATATTTATATATATACACATACACATATATAAATACATATACACGTATATATATATACATATGCATATATATATACATACAAAATAAAAAATACATTTATATACATATATATTTATATCCACATACAAATAAAAATATAAACATAAATACTCCTATGTATATATATGTCTATATATATCAAATAAAAAATATATACATATATACATGCATTTATACCAATATATATACATACATACAAGTATATTTATATATATACATATACATATATATAAATACATATACACGTATATATATATGTATATATATATATGCATACATACATACATATATATACATAATAAAAAATATATAAGTATTAAGTATATGTACAAGTATATGTATATATATATGTACAAGTATATATATATAAGTATATACTTGTACAAAATATACTTGTACATATATATACATATATATATACATATACTTGTACATATACTTATTTATTTTTTATTATGTATATATATATGTATGTATGCATATATATATATACATATATGTACGTGTATATGTATTTTTATATATATATGTATGTGTATATATAAATATACTTGTATGTATGTATATATATTGGTATAAATACATGTATATATGTATATATTTTTTATTTGATATATATAGACATATATATACATAGGAGTATTTATGTTTATATTTGTATTTGTATGTGGTAATTTGTATATATATAGATATATTTTATATAGGAGTATATATATTTTTATATAGGAGTATATATATTTTTTAAAAAATTTTCGATTTTTTTTTTTCAGATTTTTTTGTATCTTTTTTTTAAAATCTGACGTGGCACGGTGACGTGGCAAAATTTTCCATGTGACGTGCCACGTCAGATGCCACGTGGCGTGCCACATCATCGGCTAACAGACATTTAACGTCGTTTTCGGGTTGTGTAGGAAATTGCAGTTAAATTGGGCAGTTCGTGTATCAATTTGGCACATTTGATAATTTGGTGTAGTTTTTTGTCAAATTAAAAGTTCGTGTAGGAAAAAGTCACATTTTAAACAATTCGCGTAGGAAAATGTCATTTTCCCTAGTAATTATGATTACTATAACTAATCAAAGGTTTTATAATGCAAAATGTAACAAGACCTAAGATTTGATCAATTTAGATTTTTTTTAGGAAAAAAAAACATTGGGTTTCCAAAGGGTTTTAGAGCTTTGGATGAGAACAAAAATCATTGGGACAGGTTTTAGTTAAAATCAAAGTACGCCTCCGTGCAAAAAGCGAAGGATGCCCCTCCCCCCGCAGAGATGTGATTTGACCATATTACCCTCCTAGAAATCCGTGGATCCACGTGATCCATAAGGGCAAATTCGGGAATACTTCCTAGAAATCCATTGCTCTTCTACTCATGCAACAAGGACATATTTCTTGAAAGAAGCAGATGATTCATCCTCTGTGTCTTAAGCAAGAAGAAACTATATTGCTCGGTCAAGGGACGCTGAGAATCAATGGTGGTGGGCCCATTAAAAACAACGCCATGGAAAGATAAGGAGATGCAAGATAGAAAGAGGAAATGGGAGAGTCTCTCTCTCTCTCTCTCTCTCTCTCTCTCTCTCCACATTGGAATGGCCTTTGTTTTGACTCATTTTCATTCAAAGACAAAAGACAAGAAAACAAAGCTGCCATGGAACAGCAATGTCCGCAACCTTTTGAATTCATTCATTCATTCATAAATATGCAGATTCTTCAAGTGTCATACCCTGTTTCTAGGACATGTAACTGTGTCCATATCTGTCACAGGAACATATCAAAGTCAAGTTTCTCACACCATCTTCCCAACTATTGTAATCTCTCTCTCTCTCTCTCTCTCTTCAGCCTGTGGTTTCTTTCTTGATATGGCAATGGATTCACATCACCACAAGCCTGAAGAAAAAACAATAACAGAAGGATCGAATGCAACGTCCACTTACTATAACTTTTAAGCAATAGAATAGACAAAACAAGAGCCACCAGCCTCTGGTTCCAAAGGATGTATGTGTATATGCACATAATTTAATGAAGTCGCCTTCTGCAAATGGATTATTACAAAACTGGGGCTAAGCTTTTGGTTGATAGAAAGAGTGGATATATATACATATATATATATATATATATGTGAGATATAGTGGCAGTAGAAAAGGTGACTTTGGGAGATTTCAATCCTCATTAAAAATAGTTTCCCCATGGAAACATAGATATCAACTTAGACCCATCTCCAAACCAGTCTTTAACTGCCAATGGAAATGGAAAAAAAAAATAACCATGTTGAAGCACTGTCTTTTTTTTTTTTTTTTTTTTTTAGGTTGAGTGGTTGTCGAGTCATCAGCTCCTCAAATGCATAGCCTTTCCTAAATTATGGACATCAGAAGAAGACAAAGCCACTCCCGCCCACCATCTTGTCTTCCTTGCAGATTCCTCTTTGTGGATGTAATGTAAGGAAGGTCCCTTTTTTAGGTTCTTACAGCACTTTAGATAAGTGATCCATCAGCAAGACTATACCTGGATGGGAAGGAGGAGTTACAAGTGAATTTGTGTTATATTCACAGTATGATGATGGATAATGCCATAATGCATGGAAGAAATTTCATGTCACTACTTTCACATATGACATTGCAATATATACAGGAAGCTTTCACCTGTGATGTACCTTAGAGATGGTGATGGTATTGGATAGAGCAAGCCCTCAATGGTCCAGGAGAGATAACCCTTTGTTTTTCTGCTTAGGCCACTGGAGAAAAGGAGGAGGAGAAGGTGGTATCAGAGTTAACAAAGGAAAACATGCTTTATAGATTGACTTCAGGGGCGTCACCAACATTATTTTGCGTGCTTGCTTTAGCCAGAAAAAGAATTTCCAAATTAAAATAATTGCCACCCCCACAACAAGAACTAGGGGTGGCCAATTCGGGTTTCGGTTCGGGTTCGGTTCGGTTATATTCGGGTTCGGTTATTTCGGTTATAGAAAAACTATAACCATTCGGTTTTTATATAAATTTCGGTTCGGTTCGGTTCGGTTATTTTTCGGTTCGGGTTCGGTTCGGTTTTGGTAAAAAGTTCAATTTTTCAAAGAAATTGTCGGTTATTCTCTCGGTTTTTTCGGTTATTTTTTATTCGGTTCGGTTCGGTCTCGGTTTCGGTTTTTCGGATTTAAGGAAATCATAACCGTTCGGTTTTGATGTCGGGTTCGGTTCGGGTACGGTTATGTCTTATTCGGTTCGGTTCGGTTCGGTTATTCAGTTAATAACCGAAATGGCCACCCCTAACAAGAACTGCAAGTTTCTCTCTGATGTAAGCATAAATATTGATATATAAAAAAAATGATTATCCACAACGGATGTTGTAACCCCCATGTGTCTTCTTCATGTATGTGCATTGATATGCATAGCATATTAAGGTCATGGCATGGATATGATGATAAAAGTAGTAGCCTTGTGAGCCATCAGATGGCAATGTCCTCTCTCATGTTCTCTCATGCATGAGCAACATGACACAAGGATATGCAGACATGATCCGAATGATTTCCTAAAGCAATCTAAGCGTGTGTCACAAAAGCCATCAATTTGCAAAACAGTGGGTCCTATTCACCTTTCTTGCAGTATATAAATAACACCTCTTCTCATCCACCCTCTTCCATCCAGAGCTCTCTGCGTTAGAGAAACAGAAAACAAAGCCAAAAAAAAAAAAAAAAAACTTGAGCTAACTTCAACCTTCTTTTACTGGAAACCATGAAGCCAAGTGATGGCTCAGGGCTTTATTACCTCGTCCCTCCGAGCCCGTCTCCTCATTCGGCTTATTTCAGCACAATAAACAACATGCAAGACTTTCACTTAAACCAGTATCTGAACCCTTCATGTAATTTCAGCATCCACCCCCAGGTTCAGGAACTCAATCTCCAGTCCCCATGTTTCAGCAACAACTCAACCTCGGATGAAGCAGATGAGCAGCAAGTGAGCATCATCATCAACGAGAGAAAGCAGAGACGTATGATATCTAACAGAGAATCAGCAAGAAGGTCAAGAATGCGCAAGCAAAGACACCTAGATGAACTCCTCTCACAGGTGGCTTGGCTCAGGAAAGAGAATCATCAGCTTATAGATAAACTGAACCAGGTCTCAGAAAGCCATGACCGTGTCCTGCAAGAGAACACACAGCTTAAAGAAGAGACCTCAGAGCTCCGCCAACTCGTCTCAACCATGAAGCTGAGAAGCCAATATTCTTACTTTGAAGACTTCCCCTCCAATTAGTCCATCGCCAGTTTTATTCAGCAGAGAGGCATTACTCAAGTTTTCTACGTATTGAATCTGTCATTTTTTTAATGTTTTGTGTCAGAGCAAACCGTCTACTGTTTTGTTCTGTCTGCTTGCCTTACTCTCTTTCTGTGTCATGTACACCACAGGAGTATGAGACACATATAAGACATGCTCATATGCCTTTTAGTTGTCCGAACAAAAGGTGATCACCTGATATCAATTGCAGTTCATCTGGTACAACCTGAACAAAAAAAAAGGAGAGAGAGAGAGAAGACAACTGGTTTTAGGAATTGACCATGTGGAGATATACAGAAACACCCATCTTGGGTACTTGTAGGGATGCACGAACAAGAAATCACTGAAAATGGACCAATCAATTCTAATCTGGACACAAAGTAAAGTACAGTGAACAAATCTTAGTGGGTTACTCTTTTATGCATTTTGATGTGAGAAGGAAAAAAAGAAGACTGGTCAAGCAAAGAGGGAGTGGCATTAGGTGGGGGGAGAAACTAAAACAAAAGACAAAACAAGTTGGGTCGGGTCAGTTTTCATCTACACAGCACAATGAAATTCCAAAGCACTCACCATATTGCCGGTCTTCAACATGCCTTGATTTAATCAAAGATGAGTAGAAAAAAGTTTCGATTTTTTTGTTTAATCTGTGTATCCAATTGGCCTTGAGGAAATAGAGTATCAGTCTCACAGTTTCAAAACATGAATATATGATATATATCTTTGCATCTTCATAGGTGCAGGTGACATAAACATGAAACACCCATGCAACATATCGCAACTTCTGTCCAAAGGGATCACCATAAAGCCATATGAAGACATCAGAAAAATGGAGAGCCTAGAGAATATGCAACATAATCAACCAAAATGTATGCACACTCACAACTGAAGCAATAATCAAGGATACGAACCGATCATAGCTTAATGCAAATTCCCACCATCATAAACTGTCTATCTTTGAGCACACAAGGGAGCACTCAAGCATCAATTTCTGAATCTATCAAAATGCAGAATTACCTCTTGCATTGACCCAGAATGGGAAATGCCAAACAAGACTACAGATTTCTCCATCGTTCCACAGAAACCGATACAAAAATGTGAATCCTTTATCACAAAAACAACCCTACATTAACATCAAAGTCGTGAACTTTACTCTCCATTTCGAAGAACTTCGTCGATGACATGGAAACTATGAGGAAACCCAATGACCCATTCGTGTATATCTCCCAGGATCCATTACCCAGAAGATTTCCTGTAGGAAATGGAGATTTTCCCTGATTTCCCTCTTCTAAGGTGCAAAACTCATATTCAAGCATAAACATTAACCGAGATGAACATGACAAGATTGCTGATTCTGAAGTTGAGGATCCATTATAAGTGAGAGCGAATTCTCATGCCCATTTGAACACCTACTACCAAATTTAAGATAAAAAATATGATATTTCACCCATAAATCCCGAACGTTAGATAATCGCATTGATGTGAAGAAATTGGAGAAAAGTCGCACCTTCGCGAGAAACTTTCCATCAAAAAGTTTTTCTCGAGAAGATTCGAGACCATCCTCCCAAGTCTGAAACTTTTAACGTTAAAGCCCCTGTTTGGTTACGAAGAAAATTCGAGGGAAAAAAACGGGGGAGGGGTGGGGGGGTATTCTATTTAAACCCCTTTACTTTATATCTCATCAATATTTGTCCATTTTTTAAACAATTCATTAATTACACCCACAACGTTATCCTAAAATGTATGTAAACGAACATATTCAAACCTTTTCGAATCTAGTAGTAAATGAATAATGCTAACTTAGGACTATGATCGAATTCATTTTTATCCTGATATGTTGTCCAAATCGAAGATCTGAGTACAACAAGATAAAATAATCATAGGGATGAATCTATCAATTTCAAAATATTGTGGAGTAAAATGTAAACAAAATAGTAAAGGCAGTGAAAAGTTTTTATCTTTGTCTAATTATTTGCACCGACGCGGCGGAATAGAATAGATCTTCGGTCGTCATCAACTTCAAATAAATATGAAAATTATTTTGTATTATTTTATTTTCTTATTATTATTATTTTATTTTCGTATTTCTGTTCTTTAACTGTTGAGAGAATGAGATCTATCCGTCACTCCAAAAGCAGTCCCCTTCTCAGAGAGCAAAAAATCTGAGCGGACGAATCGAGATCTAGGTCTTGCGAAAGATCGATCGGTGAAGGAGAAGAGTGTCAGGTAGGGAGATTGTCGAAGGAAATGGCGGTGGCCTTCCGTGGAGGCCGGAGCGGGGGCGTCATTGGTGGCGGTTCTGGCGCATCCGCCGGCCTTCGCGGTTTGTTCTCATGCAGGATCATCGTTTCTGCCTTGTTCTCTCTTCTCTTCCTCGCGGCGTTGTCTGTCGTCCTCAACTCGTCTCGTCGCCATCGGGATCCTGTAAGCATCGCAATTCTCAGAAACCATGCTTATTTCTGTTTTAGATCGGTCTCTTTTACGCTTGATTTGTTTTTCATACTAACATTGTCGAATGAATTAATGTCGGTCTGTGAATCTGTCGAAATTGATGTTCTTTTCGGGTAAATAATGAGCTCATGATTCGTGAATGTTAAGCTATGCTTTTGTTTCGTAGATCGTGTTGTACTGTTTTTCTGGTGACCGATTTTCTCCCAAAATTGTTTTTGTTGGCTTTTTTTTTCCATGTGGCTTAGACACTACCAAATAAGGGAAGCGCATATATGCACAGGACGTTTTTAGCTTTGCAATCAGATCCACTGAAAACCCGGTTGGATCTGATATACAAACAAGCAACTGATCACCTAACGCTGGTGAACGCATATGCGGCTTACGCCAGGAAGCTGAAGCTTGATGCTTCGAAGCAGCTGAAGTTGTTCGAAGATCTGGGTATTAACTTCTCCGATTTGCAGTACAAACCTGACTACAAATCTGTCCTGTCTGAAAATGGTAATGCTGTTGAGGAGGATACATTACGTCAGCTTGAGAAAGAAGTGAAGGATAAGGTGAAAACAGTGAGGATGATGATAGTTGAGTCGAAGGAAAGTTATGACACCCAGCTAAAAATCCAGAAGTTGAAAGATACAATCTTTGCGGTCCATGAACAGTTGACTAAGGCCAAGAAAAGTGGTGCTGTTGCCAGCCTGATTGCAGCGAAATCTGTTCCTAAAAGTATTCACTGTTTGGCCATGAGGCTTGTAGAAGAGAGGATCTCGCATCCTGAGAAATACAAGGAGGCACCACCTGACCCAGCCATGGAGGATCCAAGTCTTTACCACTATGCGATCTTCTCTGACAATGTGATTGCTGTGTCAGTTGTGGTGAGATCAGTGGTGATGAATGCCGAAGAGCCATGGAAGCATGTCTTTCACGTGGTGACTGATCGAATGAATCTCGCAGCCATGAAGGTCTGGTTTAAAATGCGTCCACTGGGCCGTGGTGCACACATTGAGATCAAGGTCGTGGAGGATTTCAAGTTCTTGAACTCTTCATATGTACCGGTTTTGAGGCAGCTCGAATCTGCCAAGTTGCAGAAATTTTACTTTGAGAGCCAATCTGAGAATGCGACAAAGGATGCCCATCATAACCTCAATTTCAAGAACCCAAACTATATCTCAATGTTGAACCATCTCAGATTTTATTTGCCTGAGATGTACCCGAAGCTTCATAAGATCTTATTCTTGGATGATGATGTTGTGGTGCAAAAGGACTTGACTGGTTTATGGAAGATTAACCTGGATGGCAAAGTGAACGGAGCTGTGGAAACGTGTTTTGGATCTTTCCATCGATATTCTCAATATTTAAATTTCAGCCATCCTTTGATCAAGGAGAGCTTCAACCCCAATGCTTGTGCTTGGGCTTTTGGAATGAACATATTCGACCTTGATGCTTGGAGGCGCGAAAAATGCACCGAACAGCTCCACCACTGGCAGAACTTGGTAAGTCATTGTTGTTGCTCTGCAAAACTTTGAGGTGGCTGATTGATTTGCAATCTGTTTGGGTTTCAAAGTTATAAAAGCAGAAATCCACCCCTTATCTTTCTTTGCATAAAAAGCTAAATCTGGCAAGTTCTTCCTGGAAATCCGCCGTTATTTTCTCTGCAAATATATACAACCTTAAACAGGTCCGGATGTGTAATTCCAGGTGTTTGCTCTACTACTTTCTTGAATCATTTGAACTAACTGTTAAATGGGTTTTTTTTCTTTCCAAGCAGAATGAAGAACAAAATCTCTGGAGATTGGGCACTCTACCCCCGGGATTGATCACATTCTATTCGAAGACGAAATCACTGGACAAAACATGGCACGTTCTAGGGCTCGGGTACAACCCAGGCGTGAGCATGGACGAGATCAGGAACGCAGCAGTGATCCATTACAACGGAAACATGAAACCATGGCTCGACATCGCTATGAACCAATACAAGTCTCTCTGGACGAAATACGTTGACAACGAAATGGAATTTGTGCAGATGTGCAATTTTGGCCTATAGAGAGAGACAAAACCAATACAAAAAAAAAACGAACTGGTACGCATTTCTTTTCATTCCAACTGATTTTTTTTTTTGTCTATATATAGGAATTTACACATTAAGCTCGTCGGGGTCTTGAGTTTTGGTCCATTCATTTGTAACTCTTGAGAGCAAAAGGGTCGAGCTTTAGCTTGCCATAATATGTCCACTTCGTTTAGTTATTGTCTGTGTAAGAAACTCCTTAATATGTCATAAGTTCTATTCTTCTAGCTTAGGGCGATCGATCCCACATATTACCTTATATTATGAGTAAGTTGTAGTGCCTCTTTGTGATGTGATGCGATGCATTGTGTCAAATAATACGATGTGATGCTGATCCAATCAATTGGGTTGGTACCAAATAATATGGATTCTATGCATTTTTCATTTATTTTTTGGGTTTGGAAGTTCTTCTTGGGGTGCCTTAACCTTTGGTTGAGAAGAAGATGGAATTCAATGGTTAAAAAAAAAATAAGAAAAATGATTATGGTCAGCCATAACATGACATGATCAACAACAAGAAGAGCTGTGATGATGGACCTGGATCATAATGCGAGCATTGTTTCGACTATTCCAAAACATCACATATTTTCACAAATAGGGTAATCACTAATTTAGGGAGATAATCTTAAATTATACTGTAATATTGAAAATTAAACTAAGGAGCGAAAAGAATCATTTGGTCTTCTTTCCCATTAGGGATTTTCGGATTGGGAGAGAAAACGAAGATGGACAACTACCCTCTCCTCGCCTAATGCAATGAGAGTGGCCAATTTTTTACACGTTTTATACAATATAAAGAAGAAGAAAAAATCTCTCCTTTTGGCTTATCCCCGTAGGTGAATCACTCAAATATACCAAAAACGTCGCAACAATCTATGAGACACCTGTCTCACTAAAAAAAGTAATTTTTTTTTTCAATTTCATACCACTTTTTCGTTAAAAAAGATGTGAAATAACCTTTCTTTTATATTTTTTACGACTTTTATTACGACTATTATATAACTAGTATACGATTAAAAAAAGAAATATTTATGACCGTATAACAAATAAATGTCTAAAAAAACATAGTTATTTTTTAAATTTAAAATATGTTTTTTTACCACATCATTTAGAATCAATTACAACTGTGTATTTAGAATTAATTGCAAACTGTATTTAGAATTAATTATGATATTGGAATTATAATTATACGTTTTATTAAGAGCAATATGATCGAAGAGAATTTAATGCGTGACCCTTTTGATATATTTGGTATATTTGAGTGATTCGCCCTATCCCCTGACCTGATATCTTAATTTATTATCTGATATCAACTTTCATTGACTTCTGGAATTCCCTGCGATACAGATCTTTTACACTGACCAATATATCCTCGTTGGAGTTTCTGTCTAGCCCATTTGTGGAGAATTCAGGTTGGGGCTCTGAAAATTCTTGGCTTTTTCTGAGAGTAGATCATGTGATTCTCTGTCTGGACGCTGGGAAAATCTGATGAGAATCCCATTTGTTTTTTTTGGGGGGGGGGGGGGGTGTTCCAAGAGAGTGGGGTCTAAAGGGAAGACGACCACTAACAATTTGAGCATCTGAAATTAAAAACAATGTAATATTGGAGTTTGAAAGTTTACCAATAGGAGTGAGGAAATCTCACCTTATCCACACTCCGACCACAATCCTTTAATCACATTCAATCCACATCATCATCGCCTCCTCCCCCTTCTCCCGCATACTATAATCTAAATCATCATCATCCTCTCTCTCTAACAAAGACCCATCCCCTGGAAAACTCCATAGCTAATGGCGACCATGAATTCGAGCGTGTTGGCGTGCAGCTACGCCATCTCAGGCGCCGCTTCTGCGGAGCTGAACCAGAAGGTGGGTTTGGTGTCGTCTTCGTCAGCTGGGTTCGGACAGAGGCTCTAGTAATTTGCGTCGTTACCTTCTGCAGTGGGTTTCTTTCGATATTTCCTATGGTATGTTGTACAAGATCGCCGATGAATGTGGATTCGATTATGTCCATGGAAATTGTAGGGCATGTTCGATGTATCATTGTATCGTAGTCTCGTAGGAGCTTTGTCGGGCATTTCCATGTGCAAGTTTTGAAGGTTCATTCATTGGCTTCGGTTAGGGGTCCGATGATCTCGGTCGGGAATCTGATGTGGGTTTAGATTATTTTCGCCAAATCAAGTTAAAGTTTAGTCGTCGCTGTCTTCACAAGGTCTGGTTAGGGTTCTAAAAGTGAGGTTCTTCAGGTGGGAGGTAGTTTATGAATCGTTTTAGCTAAAGTTGGTGCCTTTTTTTTTAGTATTGACCTTTTCTTTCTAGACAGTTGCAGTTTTCTGAATTCTCTGTTAGAATCTGCATTCGAATCATTCATTCTGCATACCAGATTCTATGACTGATACTTCTTCCGTTCTTAGATTTCATTTAGAATCTCTGTTTGTGTTCATATCAGTTGAAGCAATGGCTGGAACATTTCTTGTTTCATCTACAATCTTGAAGTTCTGAATTCAGTCTTCTCGAGATTTGAGGTCTGCAAGCTTATGAATCGTGTCATTGGATTTCTAGCAGATAGAAGAAGAAGACGGCGATGGCTACGAGAATCGGTCTGGCTGGACTCGCAGTGATGGGCCAAAACCTGGCTCTCAACATCGCCGAGAAAGGCTTCCCCATCTCTGTCTACAACCGAACAACCTCCAAAGTCGATGAAACTGTCCAACGGGCCAAGAAGGAAGGGAACCTTCCCGTTTACGGATTCCATGATCCCGAGTCTTTTGTCAACTCGATTCAGAAGCCCCGTGTTATAATCATGCTTGTCAAGGCAGGTGCACCGGTCGACCAGACCATTAAAACGCTGTCTGCATACATGGAAGAGGGTGATTGCATCATAGACGGTGGTAATGAATGGTACGAGAACACCGAAAGGAGAGAGAAGGCGGTGGCCGAGCGGGGTTTGCTTTACCTGGGGATGGGAGTTTCGGGTGGTGAAGAAGGTGCCCGAAACGGACCCTCTCTGATGCCCGGAGGTTCATACAAGGCTTACGAGTACATCAAAGACATCCTTCTGAAGGTGGCAGCTCAGGTTCCAGGCAGTGGTCCATGCGTTACTTACATCGGAAAAGGAGGGTCCGGGAACTTTGTCAAGATGGTTCACAACGGGATCGAGTACGGTGACATGCAGCTGATTGCAGAGGCTTACGATGTCCTGAAATCCGTCGGCAAGTTATCGAACCGCGAGCTCCACGCCGTTTTCTCCGAATGGAACAAAGGCGAGCTTCTTAGCTTCTTGATCGAAATCACGGCCGATATTTTCAAGATCGAGGATGATAAAGGAGACGGGTATCTGGTCGACAAGGTCCTGGACAAAACCGGGATGAAGGGCACAGGGAAATGGACAGTGCAGCAAGCCGCCGAGCTATCTGTCCCGGCTCCCACCATCGAAGCATCTCTGGACGCAAGATTCATCAGCGGGCTAAAAGAGGAACGGGTCCAAGCCGCCAAAGTCTTCAAAGAAAGCGGGTTATGTGGCGATATCTTGACCGACCAAGAAATAGACAAGAAACAACTGATCGAGGATGTGAGGCGAGCTCTTTACGCATCGAAGATCTGCAGCTACGCTCAAGGCATGAACCTAGTCCGAGCCAAGAGCATGGAGAAAGGCTGGGGCTTGAAGCTGGGAGAGCTGGCAAGAATCTGGAAAGGAGGATGCATCATCAGAGCCATCTTCCTGGACAGGATCAAGCAGGCTTACGACCGGAACCCCGATCTGCCGAACCTTCTGGTCGATCCAGAGTTTGCGAAGGAGATGGTGGAGAGACAATCGGCCTGGAGGAGGGTTGTGTCGTTGGCCGTGGACTCGGGGATAAGCATGCCGGGAATGACGGCGAGTCTGGCGTACTTCGACTCGTACAGGAGGGAGAGATTGCCGGCGAATCTGGTTCAGGCTCAAAGAGATTACTTTGGAGCTCACACTTATGAGAGGGCTGACTTTGATGGCTCTTTCCACACCGAGTGGTTCAAGATTGCCAAATCTAAGTTGTAACTTCTCTTTTAACTTCGGAACCAAACAGAGACTCTGGTTCCAAAGTGTAATAACAATTAACATTCAGTTCAAGGTTTCGGTTTTCGGTTAGGTGATATTTTGGGGGTCTGGGCGTTCAAGGTTTCGGTTCAGTATTTACCGGTTCGATTGGGTTTAATGTCCATCCCTAGCGTATTTTATTATATAGATACCAAATAATAACCGAAACTTGATATGTGTACATACATTAGTACCTAGTAATGGTTAATTCGGGTTTGACTTTGATATTTATCAACCGAATACGGTTTACTGGACACTACAAAAATTATACCAAACTAGAACCAAATATTTATTAACCGAATACGGTTTACTGGACACTACGAAAATTATACCAAACTAGAACCAAATGTCATTCGATTCGATTTGGGTCTCGTTCAGTTTCGGTTCAAACCGGTTCGGAACTAAATTTCCAAACTAGAAACGCCCACCGCCCACCCCTAGATGATATAGGTAATCATACTTTCACCACGGCCACAAAGATCATCATGTTCCAACCATTCTTGGTTTTGTTCAAAAGCAAGCAAAGGGAATGTTTTGTAACAATGTGATTACTGCTATCCAACATTATTACGTAAACATGAAACACTTGTCAGTGAAAATCTTTGTAATAGGAAGAAAATACGGGAAAAAAAAAGGGTGATGCCACTAAATCCATATGAAACAGCTTCATATCTATCTATCTATCTCTCTCTGCAAGGCATTCACCTGAACCACCATCTCTGTATGGCCGCGACCGGAGAGTTCAAGAAGGGGGCGTAGCGTTGGATGATGGGATTCACCGTCCTGCCGATCCGACCCCACGTGCTCTGGTGGTACCCAGCCGTCACTGGCGCATTGTACATCAGCTTCAACAGCTGTTCATCCACACACATACATACCCGTTAACCACAATTAAGGTTTGCTGATCCATCTTTGCGCATCATTGGGTGAATAATTGAATCAAGATATCGACAATCTAATGGTCTAATACCTGAAGCTTTTTCAGTTTCAGATACAGTGCAACCAGATTTCGCATTGATGGGATCATCAACAATGCAGACTAAATCTAAATCATCGAGTTATGCAAGTTTAAAGTTTCTTGATACCTTCACTCTTCTAAACTAAGAGAGAAACCAGAGATCATGATCAAATACAAAGCAAGAAAGGAGCAGAGACAACATACCTGCCAGTACATGAACGTTTGTATAATGTTGCGTTGCCATCTGAAATTAAAGAGGAATTGACAGGATTCGATAAGTAGACCAACGGATGTAATCAGAGTAGTACTCGTCCTAATCGATATGTAAATAATGACCATGTGCAGCATTTTATCAGGTTAGTATCTGTCTATCAACTTAAAACCCGGTTTTCAAATGAAAAGGGTTCTTAAAGAATTATGTGAGGAAACAAATATCGACTAAAACAAGATGGATTAGGGTTGATAAAACGTACGAGAGCAAAGAGATAATCAAGAGGAATCCAACTGCAATTTCAGCCTGTGATGAGAGGATGCTGAGGGTAGTCGTGTTCGACTCTACCCACACACAAGGGTCTTCCAAGTACTTCCTGAGGAACCATGAGAGAGAGAGAGAGAGAGATAAGTAACAATTCACAGATGGAACCACTTCTGCTATAAAAAAAACCACTGGCCAGCTAGGTGTCAGTTGATTTACCTGTATATAGTGGAACGAGCAAAGTTGCGTCTCAAGAACTTGGCTACATGTTCAAGAGCTCGACACAAGATGGGTATCAAAGCAACTGCAACAAATAAATCAGGAACAATGGTCATAAAATTGTGCTTGTGCATATTGTATTGGAAGGAACAAAATGAAAGTTCTCAGCCAATTCTTACATTTGAGAGTGAGATGTGATGTGACAAAAGTAAGGCAGTAGATGAAATAGATGAAATCCTTGGCTCCAACAATTGACTGAAAATAACCTTGCAACGCCTGCATATTCCACGCTCTTGGCCCCTATATATAACAAAATTGTCATGTCATCTCCATGGAAAGAAGTCAACAATGCAAGATTCCAGGAGAAAAGTGAGAGGATCTCAAGGCTTACCCCATATAGGGAGTATAATGAATATAGAGAAGAACATGCAGTTCCCATGAAGGATAGCCGATAAGCCCTATTTGAGAGATTCTTCGGCACAACAGGAAACACTGCAAGGACAGCTACAACAAGCACCTGCAGAAGACGAAACGGATTACGAACTAACCATACTATTCAAAAGACAGTTTCATGTTTTGTGTTGGTTACTAATGTCCAACACAAAGTAACCAAGCCATGACCAAAGAAGAGACTGCTTCGGTTAAAAGAAAGCACACAAAAAACAATCATTGATCTCCGTTGGTTCAGAACAAAGCAAACCTACAACAGAAAGACATGCATGTCCAACAAGAAGACAGATAGAAAGCAAAGATGCATCAGACGATTTATCACATGCTATTTTTCTGACAACTGAGTAAAGGTATCAAAACCAAAACATCATACAAAGAGATACAAAGTTTCACTAGATCAACTAAACAGAAATGAAAGAAGAGTGTTCTAGATAAACACATTGAGACAATGCATGAGATGCAGGACACGAGAAAATGCTATGGTAAGATGAAGTTTACCCAAGCATTGACAGAAAATTGAATCGTCTGCCGATCCCAGCGCACAGAAGTTGGATTTGCACCTGCAGTAGCTGATGCTCCAGACGTTCTAGGAACTGTTCCTGCAGCACAAGGTCCCATTACCTTCTGCTAAAAGAAGAAAACTCCTCGCCTCCTCGTATAGAGTACATAAATCGAATGGTTATGAAGATTGTTTTTCATAACTATGTATCAGAAGATAAAAATTTTAACCTGAGCTACGTGGCCGAGCTTGTTCATTTGTTGAAGCGGATGATGAAGCAGACGGTCTGGCAGATTGCGAAGAAGATGATGAAGTTGAGGACATAGGCTCCACAACAAGGTCAGGATCCTACATTTGGAACAAGGGCATAGCAACGTAAAGGTTCAGACATGATATCCCCAAGATTTCAACAACAAAAAAACACAAACCAATGTAGCAATTGATCAAGACCCAGACGTTCCAAATCTCCCGAGTGGAGAAAAAACTGTCATATATAATATACCCAAGCTACCAGATCCAAGAAACAAAAACCTTGAAATCGACGGACAAATGCGTAACTTCCAAGAGAAATCCTACACTCGTCCCTCAGCCTTAAACATACATCAACAAATGAACATTCATAGAAAACAATCGGATTAAAAAAACAAACCCAAGGGAAAACTAGAAGGGACAAGAAGAGTTTCGATCCGATAAACAGGAACTAGAAGGAGCAAACTAAAGTCAAGTAACTGCAACAAATCCGACCATAAGATTCAGACTCGGGAAAAAAATCCCAAATCAAGTACCCAGACCCACCGGAACCCAAATGATAAAAGAGCGATACAGAAGCAGATTCAGGGTCTAGAGAGTGAGAGAGAAGATGGTACGGACGATGTAACGTTGGTAAAACTTGCGCTTGTAGTGATCGACGACTTCGGGGCGAGAAGCCATGTGAGGAGGGATGAGGATGTTGGACCAGTAATCCGCCCACCTCGAGTCATTTTCGTAGTCGTACGCCGCCGCCGCAATACGCTTCAGCCGCTGCGGATCTTCGCCGCCTTCAGCCATCGAGATCGATCGAAGATTCTAGATTCTTCGTCTTCTTCCTCCTCCACCGGAGAAATGCGGGAGCGACGATACTCGAAGACTTTGTTGTTCTTTGCACGGAAGGGATTGTGTAAAAGGGAGAATCCTGTCAAAACGCTGTCGTTTTCTCTGATCCAACTAGGGGTTCGAATTCGGATTGAGTTCGATTTAATTGGATTAAAATTTTGGTTTTTATGGGAAAAATATGAAATTTCGACCTTTTCAATTATTTTTTTATTCGATTAAATTCGGATTGCATTTATTTCTTTGTTTATAGAAATTACGGCTACAATCTTTCCATAAAATATTCGGTTGTTAATCAAATTTATAATCCCTAATCCCAACTCTTTTTTCTCTAAGGCCAAGGGTTATCTACATAGATTATTTAATTAGTGGCATAGATAATTATCAAGTTACATAATAGGAAAATTTTGACAAAATAGATAGTTTCGTGGTACAAAACTAGACATAACAAAAATAATGGGATAAAGAATCATTTCACTCAAATTAAATCCCAATTATGTAATTCACAACTTTTCTGGTGTACAACCTTCTACCTCAGTCAGAAGCTTTCGTAAGCAATCCTCTCTAACGTGGGGGGGCATTTCTCCACCATCGCTGGCCGCTGCTCCGTCGAGAAAAGACCCAAGCTTTCGATCCAGATCAAACCAGTGAACAGATCCAGAAACCCGATCGCAGCAGGAAGGTATCAAAGCAACTGCAACAAATAAATCAGGAACAATGGTCATAAAATTGTGCTTGTGCATATTGTATTGGAAGGAACAAAATGAAAGTTCTCAGCCTCTCGTCCGAGCCTGCGGTCGATAAACAGGGTTTTGCGGAGAGAAGAAAAAAAAAACACCCTTGATTAGATATTTTCACATCAATGGGGAAACGACAAGTTCTGGTCATGAAATGGAAATGGAGATTGGGGACTTGTGCTAGGGTTTCGGCCCAGGCTAAGATGATTAAAGAAGCTTCCTTTCTACTGCCATGGTTCTTCCTCCATTTGAAGCTGTGTTGAAGTCTGGAAGGGCATAGTTGTTCAATTCCACGAAAACCGGTGAACGTGATGTATAGAAAATCCCTTGGCTGCTTTAGTTGATTATATTTCAGATCATGCATGCAGCATGTTATCCAAGGATCGAGTCCTTTGGTTCTGGTGACTCCATTCAAAAAAACTTTAGCTGCTGTACTTCCCTTCTCACGTGTAATAACAACAGCAGTTGGGTCTTCTTCCATCAAGTTTTGGTGCAGTTGTCTGATTCGGCGATACAAACGGTGAGAGAGAGCGGCAAAAGAGGTTCAAGGTTTTTGCTCAGTTCCTTTGTTGTTTTCTGAAATAATTGTAGCAACAGGACCACCATGATCGTGTCCTTGCTTGCTCTCAGTGCTGAAATCGTCTTGTCACGTCCCAATCTGATTCTTCGGCCTAATCTTATATCATCTCCTCCCTCCTTGGGGTCCTCCACTGGAATTTTCGTTCTTTGCACAGATTGACAGAGGAAGAACAAGGACTGGACGAAAGGAGAGCATCAAAGCGCGAAGAGAGATGGGAACAAAATGACACAGGTCGTGTTATATTACATTACACGAAGTGAGACAAAAGATACAAAGATGAAGCTGTCATGATTCCTGAATGATTAGTTGCTGTTCACTTCCCTCAGCATGCAACTGCGCCTTTACGTACAACAAATGTATGCGTATGTATATGTGTGTACATATATACAGAGGAGGGACCGCTCTGCTCATCTTCTTCGAAAACCCTTTTGGACTCACATGGCGATGTTCCTTCCCATGTCCTAAAGTCTGAATCTTTTTTAAACTTTCAGACATTTCTCACTCAAAAGTCATGTGCTTTATATAAATGGTTGATCTGTTTTATGAATCTGGATCCAATTATCAATCAGTCTGTGTGGTTAATTGTTTTTTTTTTTTTTTTTTTTTTTTTTTTTTTTTTTTTTTTTTTTTTTTTTTTTTTTTTTTTTTTTTTTTTTTGCTTTTCTAGTTTTTTTAGTTGTAATAAGGTGAACCCAAGACGCTTGTTGGGGCCTTTGTGTTTCTGCAGGACAAAAAGGAGTAGAAGATGGAAGAGAGAAAAGGAGTGCTGAAGGCTTTCCCACGAGGGAACAAACTTTCCATCACTTTCCCGGAAAAAAAAAAAAGGCTAAGAAAAGTAAAGAAAGAAAACATGCGAAGAAGAAGAAGAGGGAGAAGAAGAGGGAGAATCATTACTGAGTCATCATTCTGTCAGCACGTTTACCAACTTGGGACCAAATATTATGCGTTTGTGCATATTGGTGTATACATATACATATACACATACGCGGACCGAGAATAATTTTAAATTGGGGGCATAAACTATAATTGGAGAAACAAAATTAAGTGGGGGCCAATGCCCCCACTACCTTCTACATGGGTCCACCCATGCATATACATGTATATATATATATACACGTGTGTATTAATAAACGATTCTCATTGTGATATATATATATACACAACACACAAGCCTACGACAAATTATGGCAAGTGACTTCGTCCGAGCCATTCTCGTGGACCGACATGCAACATTATTACAATCATTATGCGCAATGCAAATGAAAAAAAAAAGACATTAATAAATAAAATGTATCCAAAAGTAACTGAAACATCAAATATGCCTATCATGTCAAATTGAATCTAGGAAACATTATCGTTCACTTGTCTTAATTAATGACTGATCATCAGTCCACTTAATTTCATCTGTAGAAAGGAAACATAAATTCCATTGCAACGTTTTTAAACTATAAGTTGCTTAAATGATTGAATTATTAACTTTTTTTTTTGTTATTCCCGATATGTTTGTAAAATCTACGTGCTATAAAATTTATTATAACATTTATACCAAAAGAAAATATTATAATACACTAAAAATAACACAATTTTGAAACGCCACGTGAAATAGTAGTCGGATAGATTGCTCTGAAGTTCGGGCATATTGTACGTTACAATATGTAACCTACATATATATATAGATAATTATAAATATATAAGACACAATTAAATAGTGTTATTTATGTGAAAATTAGATTTACGTTTTTTTTAAATTGGGTTGTGTATTTTACTGCATGGCCAAACGCAAAGAATGTTGGATTCCCTTTCTCCCAAGCAATCTCGACAATTTCTTCATGTAGGTTTTTCTTAAATAAAAAAGAAAAGAAAAATTACATATAAATATCTAGGGTTGGCCATTTCAGGTTTCGGTTCGATTTTAGATCCGTTTATTTCGGATTCAGTTATTTTAGTTATAAAAAAATTATAACCGAACGATTATATGAATTAAATCGGTCCGGTCCGATTCGGTTTCGGTTCGGTTCGGTTCAGTTTTAGCACAAAAAAATTATAACTGAACGGTTAAATTTAGATCGGTTCGGTTCGGTTATATTCAGTTATAAATAAACACTAATATATACAAAATAAATTACAAAAAAATCTTTAAAAACTTTGAATTACATCATAATATCAATATTAATCCTTTAAAATTATCAATCTAAACCAAACTACACAATATTAATCTTCCAAAATGCTCAATCCAAATTTTAAATCACAAAATTTTCGAAAGTTTTCAAAATTTTCATTATTCACCATTTTTTATCTTCATTTTTTCCAAAAAATAATAAATTAATATATAATAAATATAAAAATAAGATTTAAATCAAATAAAAAATTAACTTATAATTATTTATAAATTAAAGGTTGAAATATCAATGAATATCTGAAAATTGAAAGTGAAATTGGAAAAATATTAGATAAATATTTAGAATAAAACACTAAAAACTAAATAAACACTAATAATCGTTCGGTTAACCGTGGTTATTCGAATAACAGAATCGAACTGAACCCGGACGGTTATTGAACTTTCTCAACCGATCGGTTATTCGGTTAATAACCGAAATGACCACCCCTATAAATATCTGAATTTTTATAAAATTCTCAAATAAATATTTGAACTATAAAATTTTTAAATAAATATCTGAACTTTTTTAAAACTTTCATAGAAATACCCAAACTTTTAAAAATTTATCAAATAAAACCAAAATTCATCAACGACGTTAAATTTAGGAAAAATCGCGTATAAATTCCTAAACTTTTACAAAAATTCTACATAAATACCTGAACTATAAAATTTTCATATAAATACCTAAATTTTTCTAAAATCTTATATAAATACCTAGACTTCTGAAAACTACCAAATAAATCCAAAATCCGTTAATGATATCAATTATTTTTATTTGAAAAAAAACTGAAATTTATATTTATTTGAAAAAAATTTCAAAAGTCTAGGTATTTATATAGAATTTTTAAAAGTTTAGATATTTATATGAAAGTTTTATAGTTCAAATATTTATATGGAAGTTTTATAGTTCAAGTATTTATGTGGAGTTTTTCATAAAAGTTGAGATATTTATATGTTATTTTTCCTTAAATTTATAATAGAAATGTCGTCGATGAATATTGTTTTATTTGGGAAATTTTTAAAAGTTTGGGTATTTAGGTGAAAATTTTAAAAAGTTTAGGTATTTATTTGGAAATTTTATAGTTCAGATATTTATTCAGAAATTTTGTAAAAAATTCATATATTTATATGCGATTTTCCCCAAAAAAAAATGTTGCTTTTGCCAATTTCAATAAACCTATTTTCACTTCATAAAAATTAGATTTAAGAAAATCCATTAATGTTTTTTTTGTTAAAAAATCCATTAATGTTTAAAAGAGAATTAAATACATTTGAGATAGTATATAATATATTAAACCTAGACATTAATTTATCCGGTTACAGTTATAATCTCACTATACGCTTCCGGCCCGTTTGCATATGCCCGTCACTGTTTATTTTCGTATTTTACATTGTAAGTTCGTATGAAAGGAACTCTCGGATACTATTGTAATACATATATATATATATATGGTATTGATTATTGTTTCAATAAAGAAAATACCCTTCATTAGATAATCATTATAGTTTGAATTATGAATCTGAATCAAATAATGTCTTATTCCACAAAAATCCAAATATTAGAACATGAAAAAAAAAATCATGTAACGTAAATATGAAAGAATAAAAAAACCAATACAATGGTCAAAAAACATGACAATTTGGCGGCTAGCAATAGCAAAGAACATATTAAAAATTTCCTGTTTTGCCCTTGTAATTTGATTTGGTTTACTGACTATTTTTGTCTCTTACAAGAATAATATGGGAAATTATATAATATCTTATTATTCAATCTTAAAGTTATTTTAAAAAAAATGTATACACATATTTCTTTATTTTAATTTAGGGCTTCCCCACACAAGCTTTATCGACAGGCATGCTCAACCTTTGCTTTAGACTCTACCAATGGATCTACCATTTTCCTTTTCTCTATCTCTTTCTTTTTTTTTAAATTGTCTCTGACACAAAAAAAAAAACAGTAATAATATTTATATATATATAAAAAAGGGTGATGCTTTTTGGTGAAGTGGGTTTCTGCCATGAAAAGCATCGAGTGAAGCAGACGTGGATTCTCTTGACATTGAAATGGTTTTAGCTTTTTGAACCAATTTTTTCTTTTCAAAAGAAAATTTAGGAACGTTGGTTTCCTTTCCCTTCATATACCGAGTTTTTGGCAACTGGGTTTGTCTTCTCTGCTTCAGCGCTGAAGACAACGTTCGAGGGTGATGATGATGATGATGATGATGATGATGATGACAAGAAGATTCCCTGTATGTTTCTTTGGATTCTTATTGCTCCTGGGCTCTGCCAATGCATTGCTTTCTCCTCAAGGAGTGAATTTCGAAGGTGATTCGAATATAAAGTTTAGATTTTTTGTTTCTTGTCTCTGTTCTTCTCATCGATCCGTTGGTTTGCAGATGAACTGTTTGTTTTTTTGTCTCAAACGAAATGGATGAAAAAAAAGATAAACGGTAGCTTTCGTGATCAGGGTCGGTGAATTTCTTTCGAATTAACTTATTTTCTTAAGCCATGGATTTCCATTGATGCTCAAACGGGTTATTTTCGGTAAACGGTTGTTCAGTTTGCAGATTTACTGTGTGCTTATATACTTTGCCTTATGGTGCAAAGAATAACGTTGGAATATGATTTTTGTACAGTGCAAGCTTTGATGGACATAAAAGCTTCTCTACATGACCCTCATGGTGTTCTTGAAAGCTGGGACAGAGATGCTGTTGATCCTTGTAGTTGGACTATGGTCACTTGTTCTTCTGACAATTTTGTCATCAGTCTGTAAGTCCGTATATACTTACACGCACATATATAGCTGACATGCAATTGCAGAGTTATCTGAAAGAAGATTCATTTCAAGCTCTGTGAAACTGAACTTACTGCAGGGGGACTCCTAGCCAGAGTTTATCGGGTACACTATCTCCAGGCATTGGCAACTTAACCAATCTTCAGATTGTGTGAGTACTGGTTATATTTATACCCTGTAAAGTTTTGAACTTTTCCCGGGGAATTTGGATTTGTTGATCGTGTGTTCTGTCTCAGATGCTTGATTTTGTGTCAAGAAAAGGTTTTGTGTATCGATTATTTTGCAGGCTGTTGCAGAATAACAACATATCAGGGACATTACCAGCCGAACTGGGTCGGCTTGCAAAGCTTCAGACACTCGATCTTTCCAGTAACTTCTTCCATGGAGAAATCCCGTCATCGCTAGGCCACTTGACAAGCCTGCAGTACCTGTAAGAGGAGAAATATAATTGCGTAGTTATACGGATCTCTTTGTCTTGTCAAAGAATTGCAGCCTTGATTTCTCTTGTTCTTGAACTTTACTCTGTTCACAGTAGGCTTAACAACAATTCTCTGTCTGGGGGTTTTCCTTTGTCACTGGCCAATATGACTCAACTTGCCTTTCTGTAAGCTCTCTTTGACTTATTTTATACTCATCTGTTTCAGACAAGGTATTGACATGTGGGTTGGATTTTGATTGTTCCAGTGATTTGTCTTACAACAATCTTAGCGGTCATGTTCCAAGATTTGCTGCAAAGACTTTCAGGTATCTCTCTCTCTCAATACCTCCCTCCTGCAATTTCTCTCTATGGTCATAACCCATTAAACTTTCTTCCTTTTTTTGTTGCAGCATCGTCGGGAACCCTCTGATCTGCCCAACAGGTGCTGAACCCGACTGTAATGGAACTGCGTTAATGCCCATGTCTATGAACCTGAATGAAACAGGAGGTAACCCATTCTTGAAAACTACAGGCATGGCTAAATTCCAATTTTGCTTTGTTATGTTGACCCTAAAAATATGCCAGTTCTCTTTTAGCTCTTTCATACTCTGGGAAGCTTAAGAACCACAAAATGGCAATTGTCTTCGGGTCGAGTATCACAAGTGTATCCCTTATCATACTAGTTTTCGGTTTCATCATGTGGTGGAGGCAAAGACACCATCAGCAGACATTCTTCCATGTCAAAGGTTTGGTCTTTTTAGAAAATTCCCTTTGTTTCTTCTTCCATGAACACTTGAAAGGATCTTGGATTATATTGGTATATGTTCAATCAGATGGGCATCATGAGGAAGTTTCCCTCGGAAATTTGAGGAGATTCAGTTTCAGGGAGCTTCAGATCGCGACGCATAACTTCAGCAGTAAGAAACTATTGGGAAAAGGCGGCTATGGAAATGTGTACAAGGGGATTCTGGCAGACAGTACAGTCGTCGCAGTGAAGAGGCTCAAAGACGGAAACGCCCTCGGAGGGGAGATTCAATTCCAGACCGAAGTTGAGATGATCAGCCTGGCTGTTCACCGCAACCTCCTAAGGCTCTATGGCTTCTGCATCACTCCAACCGAGAAGCTTCTAGTTTACCCCTACATGTCTAATGGAAGTGTTGCCTCTCGCCTCAAAGGTATCGAAAGGGTTTACTAGCTTGTGTTTCCTCTTTTGAAGAAGCTTTCCTGTGGACGGAATTCGGATTTAGCTGTAACCGGAGCTCTATTATATGGCAGGAAACCCGGTTCTGCATTGGAGCACGAGGAAAAGAATTGCGATAGGAGCAGCGAGAGGGCTTGTGTATCTCCATGAGCAATGTGATCCGAAGATAATACATCGAGATGTGAAAGCTGCAAATATACTGCTCGATGATTACTGTGAGGCAGTGGTAGGTGATTTTGGATTGGCCAAACTCTTGGATCATCGAGAATCTCATGTCACGACGGCAGTAAGGGGGACTGTTGGTCACATTGCTCCGGAGTATCTCTCTACTGGTCAGTCGTCTGAGAAGACAGATGTCTTTGGCTTCGGTATTCTTCTTCTTGAACTCATCACCGGCCAACGGGCACTTGAGTTTGGCAAATCGGCTAACCAGAAAGGGGCCATTCTTGACTGGGTAACGTCAATTTCTCCATCTTTCAAGTTTTTTTTTTTTTTAACTTTGAACTGAGACTCATCCCCGGTTTTGTCCAACAGGTAAAGAAGATTCATCAAGAGAAGAAACTGGAAGTTCTTGTGGACAAGGACTTGAAAAACAACTACGATCATCTCGAGTTAGAAGAGACGGTTCAGGTAGCTTTGTTATGCACACAGTATCTGCCTGGTCACAGACCAAAAATGTCGGAAGTGGTTCGGATGCTGGAAGGCGATGGGCTTGCTGAGAGATGGGAAGCATCTCAAAGAACTGACTCAACTGCAAAATGCAGCAGCAGCAGCAGCAGACGGCTCAACGAGCTGTCCTCTTCAGACAGATACTCAGATCTCACCGATGACTCTACTCTACTTGTCCAAGCAATGGAGCTCTCAGGACCTCGGTGAAAAATATATTCAAGCAAAGATTCTTTTTTTTATGAAAGAGGAAGAAACCCGCAAGGACATAAGCGTAAAAAAATCTCCACAGCTTAAACTGCAGTCAGACCCATCAATCGGAGGAAGAGGATGGTCTACAGTATAGAGATACGGCCATGGATCCTGTTTTTATGTTGAAGAGTGTTGTATAATAGAGGTTGCCTGCGACTGTATAGACTGTGATGTTAAGAAACTGTTTATATATATATGGGTAGTACTTAGGATGAGAGATTTTGAAGGTGAAATTAATTTGTATAAGATCTGAAAAAGGTTTCAGATACAATCTAGGGTTTGTCAGATCTGGAATTCAAGGTCTGGGTATGTATCTCTCAGAACCCGTTGTGAGATTTTCTATGGATCTGTTCATATTTGAACTTCCCGCCGAAACAGCAACGGTTAAAAAACGGTTAACAAATGGAATCTAAGACCCAACCTCCAAACATCTCTCTCTCTCTTGTCTCTGCAACATTTCCAGAACTATGGCAACTTCATGGTTCTGTCTCTTATTATCGTTCTTCATCTTCTCTGCATTTGCTCAATTCCCGGGTATAACTTCTGGGTTTTATGCATCGAAGGAAACCGAAAATCTAAATTTACCCTGGAAATTTCGGTTCTTTCTCACTGCGATTTTTGTCGATCCTTTTCAGACCAAACGGCCTACAAAGATTCGGTTCGTGTTCTATCGAAACCTCTTGTAGGTGATGACGGCAGAATCTACGCTTGTTCCGAAAACGATTTCTTCTCATTCGAAGCCAATGGTTCCATCGCTTGGTCGGTTCACTTGAACTTCAAGTGCGATCACGCTTCAGCCCCGGTTCGCTCCGGCACAGGCCAGGTACACTCCCCGCTCCATCTCTTTCTCTGTCGATCAATCCATCCATGTCTATTTTACATTCCAAATTACTGGGTTCGTTCCAGATTCTTGTCCTTGCAGAGAACCGAATTCTCATCATCGATTTCAACCGCAACGGGACATCATCTAACCAGTCTGAATCAGAAGTGTTCTTCGATCCCGGTGAAACAATCCTGGGTTTCGCCGTTAGCTCCTCGAGTTCATCAGTTTACTTCACGGTCAAGAACCGTGGTCTCTACGCCTACAATATGCTTCAGCAGCAACAGCTCTGGATCGCAGAACCTAAATTCGAACGGTTCGGGTATCGTTTAGGCTGCCGGAGAGATTTTCAAGACTGTTCCTTTACTTCTCCGCCAGTTATCGATGCTTGTGAAGCAAGTATCTACGTAAGTTGTCGCCTTTTCTCTTAGTTTTCCATCAAATTAATGGTGGTATATTAGCTTAAGTTCTCAGATTTTGGATTGCAGATATCGAACAATCAAGGAGAACTCTACTCGTTATCGATCCATGCTCCTCATTTCCAATGGATCCAAGATCTCAGTCTCGTGGACAGATTCTTCGCTGTCACACCCGGGAACAACGGCCTGGTATATGTTGTCTTCCCTGTGAAATCTCTTGTTCTTGCGTTAGATTCGTTTTCTGGTAACATCCAGTGGCAGAAAAATGTCGGCCCACTTGCATCTTCAGGTTGCGGTCCCGTTATCGACTCGAACGGTAATGGAAACTGTCAGATTCAGATGTGTTCATCATCGTAAGCCTTATCTCTGGAACTGAATATTCTCTGATATATGATATTGCAGGTTGGGTATCGATAGGTTCTCTAGATGGTTCGATCTATTCGTTTTCCCGCACGGGAAAGCTCAAGAAGTTTCCCAGACATACAGATGCAGATTCCGTGATCCAAGTAGACCCGTTGCTCGATTGCTCAGGAAACGCGATTTACGTTTCTCAGACGAAGATGGAGGGGAAAGTCGATCGTGTCATCGGAGAATACACTTACGTGTCAGCCAAGAAACCCAAAAACGCGGTTTTTACGCTTCTCGTTCCAGAGACTGGATCTGTCTACTGGTCTCAGAGCTATCCCGGTACAGTAAATCTCGTTTCGTTGAAACGTCTGATCGGTTGATTTCTTGAAATTTACGATTGTTTGTGTCAGATAAAATCTCGAGTTTGCTGTCGGAGAAAGATCTGCAGCACTTTGTCCTGGACGAGAGGATTGTTCTTGCGTTCCTCGCAGCTTCTAGTAAGAACTATCTTCTCCATCTCGAAATTATGAAAAACACCAAAGTCCAAATGCATTGATCTGTTCTTCCATAACATTTTTTTTCATTCCTTTTCTGGGGTTATATATCAACAATGCAGAGACTGGAAATCCACTTCGATGCCGGTCCAAATGTAAGATTCTCTCTGAAACCCGAGAGCTTCTAAACATGTTTTATCAGCAAAAAATGCAGTGGAGATTCACATTTCTAGATTTTGATCCCTGCTTCTGAGCAGACGAAAAGCTTGCTTCGAGCTGCTCGCTGGCACAACCAGATCATCTTGATACCAATATCGGTAAAAACCCTAAACCCTGAAACCTCCTGATCGTTGAACATCTCTCGAGAAACGAAGGGTTTGTCTTTGTTTCTACGTTTTCAGGAAAGGAACGAGGGATTATCTGGTTCATACTGTTCGAATTCGTAACCATCGTACTTTTGTCCGGTCTTGTACGGTTCTGCTGTGTGTTCTGGAAGAAAAAGAAGATCCAAGAGCAGCCCTTGAGAAGCTTTCTACGAAAACGAGTAATGACCAGCTTAGCTTGCACGCCAAGTAACGTAATCCGACTCCTAACTTGGGTCACAAGAAACTGTTCTTGACTTGTTTCTATTTCAGATGAAGAAGAAAGGAATCGGTAGAACGATCACAGAACTTGAGATGGAAGGTTCATCGGGCGATGTCGACGAAGTGACGGAGATAACTGGAAGGGACGAGGGCCGTACAAATTCTGAGATACAGGGTTCTGTCCTTCCCTTCTATGATGATGATGATGCTGATAGTGATGGTGTTACTAGTATTGATGATGATAATGATGAAGACGATGATGATGAGGATGGTGATGATGATGATGATGACGACGACGACGTATGGTATGTTCCAACCAGCAGTAAAAGCAAGAATTTGAAGAGGAGGGCATTATCTTCGACCAACTAGGGGGCATGCATGGCTTGGATTTCATGTTCTTGGTTAATGATGATGTTAGAATTCTACTTCCCTTTTCCTAATCTAGGTTAATGGGAAAATTATGGGTTTGTAATTTAATACATGAAAATAATTGAAGTTTCTAAAATTTGAAGAGGGTATTATCCACAATCGAACTTTTTTTTTCTCTCTCGAGTTTTATTTTGCATAATAATAATAATAATAATAATAATAATAATAATATCAAAGGAAGTGGAACTTTATAGGAATCTAGCACGGGCAAGTTTAGGGTATCAAAGGGAGTGGAACTAAAGGAATCTAGTACGGGCAAGTGTAGGGTGGTCTTTTTGAAAGTGGTGGGTCCCGCACCTCTTTTATAGAAACCGACAAGGTCCTTGGTCGTGAGTGGGGTCCAATCGGATATGAGTATCCTCACGGACCGCACGTGGGCATGATTCAAAGTTACCTGACAATGTATTGACGTGGCAAGTTTTTATTGGCTAGTTGGACTGTTTTACTTCAAAATGGTTTTGGAATTCTGATGGAGGTTTTTTTTTTTTTTTTTGATAACCGGTTTAGTTACCCAAAAGAGTAGATACAAAATGAAATTACCAATGTACCATAGGATAAAAAAAGAATATAACAACAACAACAAAAAAGTAAGGCGAATGAAATCTATCACGAGATTTGAAGTATCTCTAAATATGGTTAGAGTCATACACCTACAGTTACATGGATTGGATTTGAATAGATAAAAAGATGTAGCAAAGGAAAAGGACCGTCGTGTATATATATATATACATACATATATATATATGCAGCTTATAAAAAAGAAACTAACATGACCGAAATGAAAACATTGGTGTATATTAGTAGGTTGCATGGTTTCATGTGATTGGTGTTGCTTAGGAAGTCGAATACATAGAATCAAAATTAATCAAGTTGGTAACACAACCAATCTCTAGGACAAGATGCTCATAATAAACCCTCCATTATGAATAAAGTTAACAGCTTTGGAAAAAGGACTTAATAATTATAAGGAGATCCAAAATTCCATGAACATTTCCTTATAATTTTCATGTTATATATTTGTCGTTTGCTATGCCTTTAATTTTCACTATTTTATGAGTATCCCCCTGTCCAAGATTAATATCAGTAAGAACATGATTTTCTTCCACATACGTTAAAATTTATATGTTCAAGCAAATGGCGGCTCAGATTGCTTTAAAGTAATGATCTGACCCTTTAAAATATTTTTGTTAAATTTCCGAATATGGCTCAAAGGGCAAGAACAAAACTTAAATCCATGCAAAATAAAACCCTAATTATAAGATACTTATTATTTTTACGTGAAATCGGAAG